ACTTTGTGAGACGAGTCGCTGGCCTTGCGGATCTCGACATGATCCGGAATACAGACATCCGAGAGATCCCTGCTTCTTCACTTTGAGCTGCGGTGGTTTTTGCACGTGCTGTGAATGCCTTCAGAAAGGAAAGGGGTGGCAGCTATTCCTTGCCCAACCGACCAGCAGAAGGTCCAGGGTACAGCCAAGATTAGCCTGGTACAAATAACCCAGGTCATCCCCTGGGCTTTCTGCTTGTCGATTTCTCAAGAAACAGTTGTTAGCAACTTATTTACTCAGACGCAGCACCTGCCATTAGAATACAGTGATTGGGTTGGCCATCTACTCCGTATGCTCATAGGAATGACCACAGACTGCTACGTAGGATCCAGTCATAGACATTTTCTAGGTCAACAAAACACATGTACGTTGGACGGGCGTACTCTGACGATTTCTCAACAATCTGGCGCAGAGCAAATATATGATCAGAGATGCTTCGACCGGGCCGGAACGACCACACTGTTCTTCTTCGATCTTGAGTACAGCTATTTCGCGGCACCTTCTTTCTTGCACCTTTGCGTAGACTTTACCTGGGAGTATCAATAACGTAATGGTCCTATAAGTGAAAAATCCCTTGTGGTCTCCCTTCTTGAATACGGGTACGACAACTCCCGACTCCAACACAACACTTTTCCCAGGAATCAGCTTTGGCTTTCGCCACTGCTTTCGGTACCGTTTTGCGTGCCTCGACATATCGCACGCGAGTAGAAGAGGCTCTTTGTTTCAAAGCTATTTCTTGAACGCTGCTTTCTTCTCTTTAACTGCCAGTTGTACCTCTCCTGTCCTCCATGAAGATCTTTGCTGACCTCCAGGCGGCAGGTCAACCCGTTTATATCCGCAGCATTCGGTGGCAGCCTCGAGTAGGCCTCTCTTAAACAGCTGCCACTTGGTTTCTACATCAGTTTTCATCACTGGGATCTGTTCAAACTGTCGTGCGATGTTGTTTGCAAATTTCGCTCTCGTGTCCACCAAAGGTAATGCTTCCCATTTGATTCTCAGGTTGCTTCTGCCACCGGATCCACCAGATCTTCGTTTGGTACTCCATTTTTTACAGCGCAGCGTGCCAACAACAAGGTGATGATTGGTCGATAGCTCTGCGCCTCTCGTAACATCCATTTCTGAGCGTCTTCAGTCACACGATATTGCTATCAAATCGATCATCGACTCCTGTGCACAAGCTTCCCGTTACCAGCTATACTGATGCACTCTTCGATGTTCAACGAAAGTAAGCATAATGGACAATCCATCGTTTGCACAAAACCGCAACAGCTTCATACCGTTATCGTTGAGGTCCGTAGGGCCGGTTTTTCCGATCACGCCGTTCCACTCTTCAGCATCTACTCCGACATGTGCATTAAAATCGCCCATCAAAATGACAGACTCTATCCCGCACTTCGGACAGAGCGCACTGCACTTCCTCAAGGAGGGTCTCATATTCTACCTCCAAATTGTTCGCATAGACCTGTAACATTGCCAGTGCTTTAGTCATTGCTTCAGTCGGAGGATTACCACCTTCTCGCTGATAGGCTTCCATTCAATGATTCTATCAGCCAGGTTGGATTCTACCAGAACACCAGCAGCTGCATGAGGATGCTGCGTCAGAATAACTTCCGCTCACAGAGGTTTAGAATTCCAGAGTCCGAGCGCTTTGTTGACGAGAGTCCAACAATGTTGAGTTGGTACTTTATGGCCTCATCAATTAACTTCTATTCTTTACCTCTGAGTGAGGATTTATTCCAATTTATGGCTGTGAGCTTCCACTGGCGGTGTCATTCTCGTGGGCCCTTTACTGACATGCTCTAATGGCATTACGCTGTCTGCCTCCTCCATTCAGACCGGGTAGCGACTCCGTTGCTCACTGGTATTTTCGTCGTCGTTCTCTGGTGTTCGTCAGCTGTTGTCGTTCTGTTATACCCTGACTTCCAGAAAGCTATGAGCAGGTTCTGATCGCTCACTTTTCGCAGTCTGCCTCAATCCCTTAGCAGCCTACGCGGTCCTTGATAACCCGGGCGACGACGGAGCCGGCTTAATTTTCGATGGCGTCAATACCATGAGTGGCAGGTGGCTAAGTTTTACGCTTGAGAACTTGTACATAATAATTTTTATGTTCGGTGTAGTTCTGTAGGAACTTATCGAGTGATGATTATATTCATTCGCGTATATTTAGCAAAATCACATGTTATTAACTAGTAATTGGACCTAACTAGGAATTTATCGCTGTGTATTTCTGTGCAGCAACATAGACGATGAACGTCGATGGTCTCGTAGCAGTTTCCAAGTAATAGTACCCCGGTGTCATTATGAATGGCTAATTTGATTGACTGTTCTGATACTCAAACGGGAGCCTTCGTATGCCAAAATCTATTTTCTGTTAACCTGTTTCACCAGAATAATTGCGGCGTTTCGATGAACACTAAAAAAGTGGTTTCAAACCCTGTGGAAGAACATTTCGTTCGCTGAGAGCAAAACAGTCACCTATTGGTTCTCGTCTGCTCGGTCATCAGTTTTGTTTGTGAGTTTTCATAGCATCATTCGGGATAGTTTTCAGTTGGTCTTTGTCCGACTCATCGCTCGACTTCACTTTTCTGTTGCCATTCTACAGCAGTCACTATTGAATTGCAATTAACATTTTCGTGTCCATATTCCACGCAGTAAAAACCAGTAAGTTGACCGGAAAGTTATCGTCCGTAATTGCTTCACGGTCCACTCAACCCACCCTCTCTCCATTCCATTAATCATTTCGTCGCAGTATTGGTCGCAACGCATAGATGCTAAAATTGGGGCAGTCGTTCGAACAGAGATTAAAACGTACTATTGTTGATATTGTTTGTGGCTTGACAGAAAGAAAGGACGAACGCTGCGGGCATCTGTTCATCTCGTGTTTTAAACATAAAGTAACTGGTTATTTGAAACCGTGAGAAAAATACCAAATTACGAAATTAATTTATAAGCCGCAAGGCAGATTCCTACAGAAACACGTCACACAGTAAAGGGCAAACTGAAGACTAACTGACTATGGTATTCTCAACATCTGTCATCGCTTTGTCTTCGATTGCTGCCCGCGGAGTCTAAGTGATTCATCAAGAGCGTGGCTGCTCGAACTACCATTTGAAGCTGCTATTTTTGGAGTCTGACAGGGATAGCGAGTTATGAAATTGGACGGATGAATGGTTGGATGAACTAGCAGATAGATACATGAAACGACTGAAAAAACGACAGAAGAAATGCTGGCGGAAGTAACAGAAGAGTGGAATGGATGGATGGATTTTTGGTTCGATAAACGGATGCTGGGATGAATGAAGCGACGGGCGGGTGGCTTAGTGGATGTACGAATGGGTATTTGGATCAATGAACAAAGTAGCGGACAGACGGGTGGAATAAGTTCCTGATAAATACACATCAACATTACAAAAAGTTACATTTGCGTAACATTTTGGCCATATCAGGTCTGCAGTACATTTGGTGAGCAAGCATTTTCAGATTCCACTTTCAACAGCTCAACGCACAGCAAGGACAGCTGCCCGCCCTCTACTCATCCGGCAATTACTGATAATTGGCCACATCTACATTGCGCGCAAATCAGCACTTCACAATTTTTATTGAGCTGAGAGATGAGTAAATACAGCGATCACAATTTTGTCAGTTATGCAGACTCGTACGGGGCATGCGACGCATTGTTCCGTCGTCGTAACGTTTGCGAGGCAATCATTTACGCGTGACCTCGTGCACCTCGCTGTCTGCCTTCGTAAACGGGTCTTTAACTCAGCGTGTAGGTGGATTTCTTTGCTGTAGAAAACCGCTTTTGTGGACAGATTACGAATCGTGATTCATAGGACTTTTCAATAGTTTAACAATGGAGACCCGGAAGCGTCATTCATGCTCGTTTTGCATCAACCTTGAACGGAACTCGACACACACCAGTAAATTGATTGGTCAGAAGCAATACCTGCTTCGATGCGGCTGACCGAAATCGCAATTTCATCCACACGACAGACAGTCAGCAGCTTCAGGCCGTCGTTTTGGCAAGGCTCAAAGCAGGGCGTGCTTTTCAGCATTGGTGGTCGAATTAAGTCGAATGAAGTGTTTGCTTCAAAATGTGATATGTCTTTTTTTCATTATATGACGCCTTCGTTCGGTTTATCACGTAACGAGACTGACAATTGCTAACTGTAAACACTGGCCCATTTTAGAGCTGTAGCAGAAAACGTAGTGTTTACAGCGCTACGCTTCTGAGAGGATGAATATGCCAATCCGTGTTCTGTAGAACGCTTGCTCGATTCTTTCGGTTATACGAATCTGCATCCTTGATAGCAACATCTATTTATTCATCGAAAGATGCAAGAAAATTTTTAAATATATTAATACGCAATATTTTGATATCTGTCACATCTTAATACCTACAGATCTTTATTTTATCTCGGTTGATTTATGATTTAAAAAGTAATTATTTTGAAGAATATCTGAGTTTATAGAGAGGTTTTCAACCGTTTATGATTCAGGGTACCTAACACAGCAGATGGCAAACCTTTACTGCCAATGCGTTTCACGACATCGCTCGCAACATCATCAGGGCTGAAGCACAAATGGCTGCTTGAAAACACCTATAACCAATAAGTGAACTCTGTCATGTTTCATGATATGCCCATACTTAAAAACAAATCAGTTGTTAAACAGCTTGAGAATTAACCAGTAAACGAAGTGTGAAGTTTGCATTAAAAATGCAATCAGTTCATTGTTACGTTAACCCGATCATGCGTATTAAAATCGTGATTGTACCCCAGCCTTTCTTAAATCCTTCGAAGAAGTGTGCTTGTCGCACATCCGGCGTTTTCTAGTCAGTACATGCAGGAACTCCTTTATCAGTATACTTACCTTAGAATCATCTTTATCAATGATAGGCGCATTGACCTGACTAAAAGAGTGTTCTTCAGAGATGGCATGCTGGAAAATACTGCAACTGACAGCTTCTCCAAGGCGGATCGCAGAAAGACGCTCTTTAGTCCGGGTTTTCAGCTTCCAATAATCTTTCCAACGTATAACGTATCGCAGTCTCAGCACTAGATACAGCATTTGACGATTCTTCCGGGTTAGTGCACATGTACTTCTTGAATTAAATATTACTCAATATTCTGCCAGTCTTGTAGTAGACTTTGAACCTCATTACATTAATGTACCTCTTAATTCGTTTAGACATCTAAGAAATTAACGGTAAAATTACCTTTGGTCTATATGGAGAAGGCTTTTTGGGTTCAAACTGGTGTGCAGATGTTGTTTGCCAAGTAATCTTTTTTGGTAACCATTCCTGAGAAACATTTCTTATAGATGTTGAATTTCAGCACTTAGGCCGGATGTCATGGAACAGGTTTTCGGGAGCTCTTAAACGCATATTTTTTTCAACGTTCATAAGCATGCCAGGAAAAACACATGAAGCCGGATACAGGTAGCGATGGAGTGAGTTGGTTTCCAACAAACGGCAATCACAAATTTAAACGGTGTTTTCTTCACCAGCACGTCAAGAATAGATATAGAGTGGTTCACCTCAGCTACAGTGATTAAGCGTATTTGGCCATTGGTACCTTATCCATTCATGTAGCTCATGAAACATCCCAACGTTTTCATTTTGTCCTAATTTTGTTAGAATAATAAGAAAATATCATCAAAGAATCGGACATAGATCAACGGTCAGAATTTCGGCGGATATTCGCTTAGGACTTTTTCCTTCTGGGAAACCTTGTGAAGATATGCTAGAGCAACACCTACTTGGAAGCCCACGGGAACGCCGCACGTCTGGTGGTAAACATTGACCGTGAATTTGAATCTGATGCCATTCATCATCAGGCCCAAGATTGTCATCAGTTCTGTAACGCTTCAATTTCTCAACCGGCTTTGGTATGTTCTCCACTCCTCCTCTGTGTTCTTCAAGATGTCAGGAGAATATTAGCAACCGTGTTGATATTCACATTATTGAAAAGGGCAGTGACGTCTAGTGAAACCATTTGATTTGATGATCATGTTCTTTCAACCTGAATAGAAAATCATTCCTGCCTTTCATTCTGCAAGCCATTCCCTTAGCACAGGTTTCAGCTACGTAAGTAGACGATATGATTTCCACATCGATCATCGACTTCTGTGCACAAGTTTCTCGGTGGTAGGTATACAGATACACGCTTCGATGCTCGAAAAGAGTTTCGTAATAAACAAATCGCTGTTCGCACAAAACCGCATATTCCTAAAGTTATATTTCAGGTCACTAGGATCGTTCTTCCCGATCACCCATTTCTACTTTTCAGTGTCTGCTACAACATTCACTGAATTGAATTCCCTCTTAGCATGATGGATTCGGTAGCCGGCACTTCGTAAAGGATAGACTCAACTTATTCAAGGAAGGACTCACATTATCCCTCCAGATTGGGCGCATAGACCTGAAACAAGGTCAGAGCTTTAACTTGTTGTTGCTTCATTCGGGGGATTGCCACTCTTCCTCTGGCAGGCGTCCATTCAAGGATTTTATCAGCCAGCTTGGATTCTACCAGAACACCAACACCATGGTGAGCGTACGTAGTAACATGGAGACCTGAGCAGAGTAACTTTCATTCACCGAAGAACAGGATTCCATAGCCTTGGCGCTTCATTGACTAGAGTCCAACAATATCAAGTTGGTACCTTGCGGTTTCATCAACTAGAAGTATGACAGATTAAACAAAACAACTACATAAACTCAGATGAAATTGTGTTTGAACTATAAACAACTTTGCAACTTCCAGTATATTTAAGCATACATTGAAGTACTATGAACTAGAATCTGTTTAAGGTTAAGTCTTTTTCGGATTTTGGGATAATAGGCTTTGTCAGTGCATCAATGCTAATAATATCTAGCAACAATAAGTGTAGCCCAATATTGAAGACTGACTTTCACTGATAAAGGAACTAGCCTTTCACCCCAAATGCTATGGTGATATTTTAGCAGAAAAAAATTTAACGGCGTTGGAACTTCCTTCAGGGCTGGATGTATCTCATATCATATTTTAGTTGGGCCAGTAGTTTGAGCCTACATTCCTATTGTCGTGTAACATCAAGTGCATTTTTAGTATGTTGATATCATTTATTTAAGCAATAAGATTATGCAAAGTGTATTTGCGTATTTCTGCTGTTGTCTCTGTACTAGAGGATAGCAAAGCTTTAACAGCAGAGCGGCTCACCTGCATCTCTGACCAATATCTTAGAGTTTTTGCTGTGTTCGCAGGGTGAGCAGTTGGGTATCGATACTACTGCTTTGGCAGCGACTATCAGTTGTGCGGTTTGCATCGAATGAACGACTGAAACCTCTTAACCAGGGAATTCGGCCTGCAGAAACTCAACACCTGGAAGAAAAAGGTGTACCTGCTTGGTTGGACAGCTTGGTATGTAGAAATCGAAGAACATATTGTGCAGACCGTCAACTATCAGGTTGATTGGCCAAGGTGAAGTGCAGCCAAAAGGAGTGCATTGCACAGCATAGCCGTACACCTTATCTTTTTTGGCATGAACACAGAGTATCACACTGTCCATGTTATTCACAAATCACTTATCTACTATCGGTTTCTCGGGTAGTTGTGCGGAAGCAAGTTTATGTCAGTTCTTTGAATAAGCAAAAGAAATAAATGAGCAAATAACAGAAAAAGATTAAACAAGCAAAATACATAGATTTTTTCTTGAGCGCATTCAAACCAGACGAATTCTTAACGACTGCGTCACAACGTCCTGAAACAACAGGATGACATTACAAAGGGGTAGAATACAGTTATGTTGAGGTGTGTTTTAGTTGGCAAGCTGCTATTCATGACGTTATATATTGCAACACTAGGACCGAAATTTTTGCTGAACGTTAAATATTAGCTATATATGGTCATGTTGCTTACAACTAGGTAACTTTACTCAAGCTTTTGTACCTGCTGATCACAATGTACCATTATTTGCTGTGTAATATCCCGCTATTTGTTGCGTGCCGTTGCTGGGGTGAATTGTGTTTAGTCTACTTCCGAAACTGAATTTAAAGTTTCTTTTTTACAGTGGATTTATTATTTATGCATGCTTCAATGTAGCTGATTTTGTTTCATTGTTTTAACCCTTCAGCAAGGCTAGTGGATGGACGATGAATTCTCTGCTCTGCCTTTCGAAGCAGCTGTTGCTGAGCTTAAACAATTCCTTAAAACCGGCACTAATTGCAAATGAAGGCAAACAACGTCAGATGATCGTTTGGTTAAAAATTTGCCTTTAGCTTGTGTTACGCTGCTTTGTATTTTAAACAGTTAATGTTGGTACTTTACTGAAATAATTGATCAAGTTAATTCCTGGTTGTAATACCGTAGTAGTATTTTGTGTAAACCTACTTTTTACTTTAAGCTAATGTTTGCATGCGAAAAGTATCTGATATGTCAGGCGAGGAGGTTGCTGCAAAATCCGTATTTCATTCCCTGTGTTAATGAATCATCGTTTCTGTTTGGTACAAGGTTCAGTATTTCTTGTACTGCTGCTGGCGTGCGTCTGGTTTGCGTATACAGATATGCTTATGACTTATCGCCAGCGTCTTAAAAAATATGTTTATGCTAAGTACACGCAATTGCGATTAAATCGGTACATTACTCTAAAAAATTTTATGGCTTTGGTCAGTGAATGAATCGA